GCTGCTCCAACAACAAGTGTACAGGCCCCAAACCACACCAGTATGATGGTGTGTGTGCAGCCAGTCTGTTACTGGCAGGCAGAAGAGTGTGAGCGGAACAACTGCTCCACCAGGTAAGACCCAGGAAGCGGTTCTGCGGTTCAGCTTTATCGCCATCATAAGGAGAGAAAACCATGTTTGCACCCTTTTAAACATTGGTGTCAAACTATTTATTGAGTGAGTGGTTCTTTATAGCGTCCATTGCGGTGAGAGTAATATTTTGTATTACTTCAGTCAGAGACCCATGAAAAAGGTCCTTTAAGCAGAGGAACTCTGCATTATATACACCCCATGGGGTAACTCCTTGTATTTCCTGGGAGACTGTGCACCTGTTTCTGCTGTTGCTGCATGGGGAGAATGTCATGACTTGTTCATTTATTGACTGTTTCGTTCGACTCGATTTTTATGTTTATTTTTGTTTATTTTGCAGTTCCTGAGTGTTAGAAGCATTGAACTTTATGAAAGAAAACACATATTTTAAAGTTTGGTTTAAGAGTGTAGATGTCCTCTTATTTTGAAAGGGTTAGTTCATAAAAAAGTTATATATTTTTCAACTGCTAAAAAAGTACACAAACCCAATTAGCGTGCTTAAGTATAATTTTGGGGCACTTAACATTAAGGGTTCTATTTCTTTCTGCTCAACACCCATTCCGCTATATTTGCAGATCCATATTGTGTTGAGTATATTAATAATGCTGACTACTTTAAATAATTTTAGTATAATTACTGATAACATTTAGTAGTACATTTAATGTTAGTTCGGAAAAAAATGTTAGTACATGAAAGATTCTTTGTTATGTTGGAGTATTTTTTGCATTGTGGCATTTATACGTTTAACACCTAAAGAGTTATCCAGCTGTCCTTATGGTTTTAATTGTATCTTTTAATATTGGCTTACTGCAACTTACTCAATTCAATTGAAGTAAAAGACTTGGGTTTCATAATATTGAAATTACATTTACAAATTTCAACTTTCTGAAAACACAGTATTCGTTTATAGAAAATTGCTCTAGAAAAACAGGAGTTTGATTTGGACTATTGACAACAGTTCATTTGTTTTAAAAGCCAATTTTAGCCAAAAAGTTATGTTTTGTCTTGGTTGAAGTAGGCTAAGCAGTGTAAAAATACGTCATGAAGTGGACAAACTGACTCAATGGCATCACCAAACATAAAAGGTATAGCTATACCGTAAGTGAGCATATATATATATATATATATATATATATATATATATATATATAAGGATGTATATAAGCATGGCCCCATTGGATGATATTGAGGAAGGGTGAGTTTTATACATTAGTGTGTAAAAAAAGTGTTCATTAAAACAGTTTAGTCCATCTGTTTTAATGAACACTTTCAATTTCCTTAAAAAAACAACCTGAAAACGTTGGGGGAAAAAAACATGATAATCCACACATGAAAACATACAATTGTATTTGTTGGTTTTCAGCGTGAGAGAACTGAGGCTTTTAATTACACTGCCAGCTACTGCTTATCTTGACGAACAACTAATAACAATCGAAAAATGTAGTGAATAGAAAAAGCAGTAGGTTGGCATTACCTTTCCCTGATTTTTCTCTAAAATGTGGTGAAAATGTGCAACATTAGGATGAAAACCCAGCTATTGTCTTTTCCAAACAAATATTGTTGCACGTAATTCCTACTGGGTGCTATTATTTTGTCGTTATTGTATTGTTGTTTATATTCAATGTAATTATGGCCTTGAGTCGGTAAAAATCTGGATCTGAATCCTCAAAGGTGAATTTCCCTGCATAAAACCCATGATTGCATATAGCTGCAGAGGTAAATGAGAGAATTCATGATGATTTGGTTGAACTAACCCTTTAACAAGACCCTTGTGAGCTTCACAGCAAAGAGCCCCCAACCCTGGAGGAAACAGTTATCTGAGCGGCGGTCCACGTGCATGGCGGAGATAATGCTGCTTACGCTTCCAGCATGCAGCGATGGCCCCGCACTGCGAGGCAGGAGAAGCTGGGGCCGTCAGGGATTTGTCAGAGGCCTGTTATTACATCTCTAGTCACATAAAATATGGCTGCCTCTCCAGAGATCCCACCGCTAGATAAATCCCTCCAACCAGACGAGCCCTGGCGATGAAACCATCCAATGGCGTGCCTCAGCCAGTGACCTCTGGTAATGACGTGTGATTTATACAGTACATGTTTTAAACCAAGAGACACATCTCTCCCTCTGTATCTATATCTGGTGTCATGTGAGATAACTGGCAGGCCTTTGGGAGCGGGGAGACATGACACCCCATCTTTGGGGTCTCACAAAATGGCTACAATGTAGATAGTTTCCCCTGCAGCTGTCTAATCGCAGGCTAAGCCTTGCAGTGAATGCTGTGCCTCCTCCTGCAGCAGGTCAACAACACATTGCAGGGTGCCACTTTAAGCTAACTGACCGCAGTGTGGAAGGCCTAAATCAACACCTGGTTGGGAAGAAAAAGAGGGCTTGTGTTCTTGGAAATGTGTGGCACTGACAAAACTGGAGCGTTTACTTTAATTAAATGTATTATGTCAACAGATTTCACATAACTGAATTAGCTTAGTTGAAAGAAATAATAAGCCTAAATAAAAAGGTATTAGGTTCAACTTAAACTGTGAAATGTGTTGACATAATTAATTGACATTAAAGTCAACATTTCAGTTGTTTCAGTGCTTAGCTGTTGTAAAGAAATACACTCCAACAGTTGATTATGATTAACCAGAGGGGGTTATTCCAAATCTATTCTTAAAAAGGCCACAACAGCTTCCAAAGAAAAGCAGAAAATGAAGCAGTCTATGGGTCATTTTCCAGACAGTCAGTGCCCCCGCCAGTGGACGTCCCCTGCACAGTCTAGTAGCTTATGAGATTAAGTTGTGTGGCTAAAGGAGAGCTGAGAGGCAGGCCGTGTCGTTGACCTTGGCAAGCCAGACCCAGAGATGAGGACACTACAAATATCTGTCTTTAATAAACAGGCGCCAAACACAGCTCAGCGGGCTGGAAACACACACATTTCATGAAAAATAAATGGCTACATTTTATCATTTGTGTTAACACATTAGATCACCTTGTGTGCCAGTTAATTATTTTATTTATTTTGGTTATTTGCCAATTCATAATATCATATAATAATGCTCTTTTCTTTGATATTTCTATTTGCTGTAATGTTGTATATGTGTGAGAGGAAACATGTTGCCTGTTTGTAATTGTTTTAATACTAAGTGGGTTTTTTATCATTACATTTTTTATTCATGTAGCCTAATTTATTTATAAATGCCTGTGTGCCTTACTTAATGTCTATTTTAAAAAGCACATTAATGAATCAAAAAGGCTTATTACATTCATTTTGTTTAAAAACCTTTTTCTTCTGTTTTTTTTTTTTGTGATAGTAATTAGAAAAAAACTCGAATGTTTGAAATTATATTGGCTATATTTCGCAACAACCAGAAAACAGTTACTACTGAAATCAGAAGCCCCCCCCCCCCCCCCCCCAGCAGCTATAAACTGCCTGGCTGCCATTTCTTTTTTTTCAATTCATAACCTGATAGTTCAACTGGACACAGAAAACCGTTTGCTAACTGACAGCCAAAGATATTTTAATTTTTTCCATATTGAATAACGAAATAATATTATTTTACTTTTTTTTTTAATTAAGATGTTGTTTTAACAAAAAGGGAAAAGTTGATAATAGATCAAACATGAAATGTCTAACTCGTTTATGTTGTGGCAGTCCTGTATATGGACAGAACTTTTTTTTAAATACAATCGTTTAATGTTTTAATAAAATAAAATGGAAAATAATATAGGAAACTATTTTAAATGAGGCTGAATAGAACTATAAAATACGACCACGTTATTAATTGTATACCCTCTCTCTCATCATCAACTTCATCATCCTCACTATGTTGCTGTTTTATTTTTGTAAATATCGATGATGTAAAACTATTCATTGCAATATTTGCTTCAAACCACCACCTGAACACATTCATCAAAAATAAATATATAAAATATTCTAAAAATAACAGCGTTATTATGTCAGCATCGACGAAACAAAAATAACTCTTTAAATAATAATAATGAATTGCTACAATTTGTTTTTTAAATGTCCCTCTCCCGCAGTAAAATCACGGGCAACTTCAACAATGTAAAGATTAAATAAAATTATTTCTTCCGTTGGATATACGCCTGTATTTGTATTTGTATTTAATAGGAAAAGGCATCATATTTTGTGCAGCTGCGTAAATTCGTTTTCTTATGCAAATAGCCTGTCGCCAATCCTTCAGCCCGGTAAGAAAATAAACTCATCATGTCAAACCTGCAGGATGCGAGGAAATTTGAGAGCAGATGAAATATTTCTCGGATGATATAAAAAGGAGCCCTTTTGCCTGAGTTATGGCCCGGGTTTTGGCGTTGCTGAGAGGGATGCATGCTGCTCCTTCCCTCCCGCCCCGGAGGAGGTATCATCAGAGCTGATATATGGCCCAGCTCTACATTACCTTTACAAAACAAAGGATCATCCACGCTTTGGGTCGAGGAAAAAAATCCTTCTGACTATATCTGCTACAACTACACCTGAGTCGACTTGTCTTTTATGGCAACATCCAGATAATCCAAATACTTTCAGACTGAAAGCCTAGAAACTCCTGGACTAAAACCTAACTTTTACGCATAAAATATAGGATTGCAATCTCTCCCTCAATCTTTCTCTCTCCCTCCCTCTCTCTCTGCTTCTCCTCATTTACCCCACATACCTATTCTGGTGTCTCACCACACGACTAAATTAGACCAAAGATGATAAGAGCACAAAGCACTATAATAATTCCGCCGGGCTCCTCCTCCTTCTAGCCATGCGTCCTAATTAATGGGACACCCCCAGTCGCAAAAAGCCCCGCACTGGACTGCAACATAGTCAAAGAGTGAGAGGGAAGAGGGCGAAAGTGCCACTGGAGATAATTGATTACCTACCAATCAATGATAACTTGTTAGTAATCGTCAACTCTTTGGACCTCGCCATTTTCAGGGAGGCATCTCACTCCTGCGGACTTGCTGCTCCCGAGGATCGACACTTTGAAGACATCCCATTCTGGAATAAGATTTTTTTTCTTCATTCTCCTCCGTGTCTTTTGTTTTTTTTCTCCCACCTCCCAACTGTTATGTGACTTTTTTCCCTTCGATAGTCTCGCTCGTTTTTAAACCCGCTTGATTATTTCTTTTTTCAACGAAGTCCTTTTTACAACCAATGATGACATCCAAAGAAGTGGCCAAATGTGATGCAGTGGAAAACAGGAGGCGAAGTCCGCTGGACCACTTGCCGCCTCCTGCCAACTCCAACAAGCCGCTGACCCCCTTCAGCATCGAGGACATCCTGAACAAGCCCTCTGTGAAACGAAGTTACACCATTTGCGGCACAGCTCATCTCATTTCGTCCTCTGAGAAGCACCGTCCGTCCAGCATCCCTCTGTCCAGTAGGGCTCTGCTCAACCAGACCTCCCCCCTCTGCGCGCTGGAGGAGCTGGCCAGCAAGACCTTCAAAGGGCTGGAAGTCAGCGTTTTACAGGCAGCAGAAGGTAAATCTCGATCCCTAAAAAATACAGTCGAAAAACACCTTTTTAGAATGTCATAATGGGCGTTTCTCTGCACGTGAATTTCTTATTGTATAGCCTGCACAAGATAGAAAATAACCATTTAAATACACACCTGTTTTGCAGCATGTCATGTAATAAAAAGAACAGAAATAATATTTGAACATATTTCTCTTTAACAAATATATTATCGGAAAAAAAGGCGTGTTCATGTTCTGGGCTGCATGGAATAAATCGACACTGCTTTTCTTTAATATTAAGGTCTCGTGTGTCTAGTGAAAACTATTTCCCAGTGGGGTCTGTGTAATATCCTTATAATCACCCCTTCCCACAAGAGACATGGGCTTTAGTCTACTGTTTCTCGTAGGATCACTTTGCTATTTTTGCGTTAGGTTGACTTTTACGCGCACGCTGCTGCAGCGGTGCAGAGGAAGCTCTGCGCGCTGCACCTGCAGGATTCACATTCTCACGCGGCCTCTCTCTCTCTCACACACAGGCAGGGACGGGATGACTCTGTTCGGCACGAGAAGCACCCCGAAGAAGCGCCGGAAGTCTCGGACGGCGTTCACCAATCACCAAATCTATGAGCTGGAGAAGCGCTTCCTGTACCAGAAGTACCTGAGCCCGGCCGACCGGGACCAGATCGCGCAGCAGCTGGGCCTGACGAACGCGCAAGTCATCACGTGGTTTCAGAACCGCAGGGCCAAGCTAAAACGGGACCTGGAGGAGATGAAGGCCGACGTGGAGTCAGCTAAGGCCACCGGCAATGTCCCTTTGGAAAAGCTCGCCAAGCTGGCGGACCTTGAGAAATGCGCCAACGGCACGCTGGGCCATCCGCGACCAAATTCCCCCGCGCGGGTCGGCCAGCAGGAGCTCGAGCTCGCTCAGAAACTGCGGAACTCGCCGCTGTCTCCGTTTTCAGACCACACAACTAGTAAAGAGTGCTCAGAGGACGAGGACGTGGAGATTGATGTGGATGACTGATAGCACAGCGTGGGGCTGGAAGGTCGAGAAACACAAAAAGACGATGAAAAATCCTCCGGAGGACTTGTAACTTACTGCTTATATTGTATACCATATCTCAGAACATGTACCAAAATGTAATGACTTTTATATCGACACAGATAGACCTATTCATAGTGAAGCATGAACACACAACACGAAATATGCAGTGGTATTTTACTATGTATTCATTAGCAACCTCTTTCTTCTTGCAAGCAAAGCAATATTGTCTAAAAGTAACTTGTAATTGTTTTTACACTATAGGCCAACACACACACACACACACACACACACACACACACACACACACACACACACACACACACACACACACACACACACACACACACACACACACACACACACACACACACACACACACACACACACCTGTTTCCATCGCTTTTCAAGGCCTATACCCTCACACACCACAATGAAAGTGCTCCAGTTTTTCATATTGTTTGCATGTAAATGCATGATTTGATTTGTGATCATTACATATTTATTTTTACTTTATTATTTTTATTTAATAATTGCTGGTGTTTTTCTGTGAGCCAAATCGCCATTGTGTCACTTTGTCACTGCCGGCTCCTCCTCCTCCTCATCTGACCCCCCCCCCCCAGCCCTTTGACTTCAGCTCATGTTTGGCGTCCCGATGCTGCTGTGCATGATGATAAAGATGATGAAGATGATGATCGGAAAACCCGGACATTTGTGCCATTTATGGGAATGTTCACGCGACGGCGAGGAAGAAAAATGAATATTGCGGTGATTTTGAAAAGCTATAGGCTACTTTTTAGATTTATTGTTTGGATACAATAGATTTACAGTTATAAATATTTGTTATGTTTTGTACACCTGTAAGTGCCTTTCTAAAATCAGGACATCATTTGAAAAACCAATGCACAGACTGTAATGTATATAGGCTACTATGGGAATAAAATGGCTTTTCTGAATATATCTTTTATGTTGCAATTCTTGAATTAATATCAAGCTTTTTTATTATGAATATAATAGCTTTTTTTTCTTTTTAGTGAGGACAAAAACAATCATTTTAGAAACACGCTCTCCTTGCCAGAAATGGGCGTGTTAGCCTATCAAAGCGGCCTGTTCAGAGTTATTATTCTGAACTATTTTGTCCCTTTGTGTCCTTTTCTACTAAGATGCTCTAAACATTTTGTGGCCCGGAATCTCACATCTCCTTTCACACTCTAAATGCGTATCGTGGCTTCTTGACCCTTAGACGTGTTTCTCCATTCGTGGCAAAAATTTATGTGAGAAACACAAATCTGGTGCCGGGGGGAAAAAAAGACGAGGATGCCACAAAAACACAAAGTTTTGGGCCAGTTTCTCTCGGGCCTTTTATAGACCTTTTTTGTTCTGCGGGACTGGGCCGTAATTTTGAGCGTAAAGCATGAAAAGTGGGGACAAATGAGCAGCGTTCCCTGGTGGGACGAGCCACAAAGGAGCAGGGCCGGTCCCCCGCAGGCAGCAATACTGAGACAAGTGTGTCCCACCGCACAAAAAGGACGCAAACGTTTGGAGGCCATATGGTTTTTGAAATTTCCTCACAAATTCAGACAATTTGATGGATTGAGTTAACCCTCCTTTTAAACAGTTTAACTGGGTGCGAACAAAGGCCATAATGCCTACATAGACTCTCCCTTCATGAGGGCATCTGCGGCTATTAATGTCTAGCCCTTTTCTTTGCCTGGCGTTTTGAACAAGTCAATGAATTACAATGAAACTGCCCCTTTTCTGTGAGCCGCTTGTCTCTCACCGCTTTTTAGCTCTGGAAGAATATGTTTGACTTCTGTCCAAGAAACGTTTTCTAAACAAGAAATGGATTTTGTTGGAAGGGGTTTTAATGTTAAGTAGGCAGCCATAAAGAGTTGAGACTGTGACATTTATTCCAAAGTCTGGTTAGGGGACTCCTTTGTTTGTTTTCTTCTCATCTCTCTTTTTTTTCTTCTTTATTTCTTTTGTCTTTAAGGAGTTTAATGAAGCTGAAAACATGGTGATGTGAGAAAGAGTGGAGCTCAAAAGGCTTTTCTCCCCTTTAACTCTCTTTGTTCAAAGAAATGATAAGTAGGCCTGTCTTCTTGTGACTTGTTTATAGTGTTTGCTTTTTTTTTTACTTTAAATTCAGGACAACCTGAATACGTTTATAGACCAGTAAGTACTTGAAGCCTATCTAAAGGCAAATTAGTCCTACAGTAAAAGAAAATCCCCCTATTTAGAATGTAAGCCACGTTTAATAAATGGTTTATAACATTATAATGAAGTTTTAGGCTGAAATTACTTTTTTTAGGTAGTGTAATTAATGTATTCTTGAACAACCATACACGGAGGCTGCTATTGAAAATAAAGGGAAAAAAGTTTTAAAAAAAAGGTTTAAATATAAATATTGTCATAAGAGAATTTATAATGAGTAAAAAACTGCCTTTTAATTTACACAGTAAATTATCCCTATGTCTTGATACTGCATCATGTTATAGCTTATATATTAAGTTGAATACTGCTCAGAAATGCTAAATAGGGGCGTGAAGTGTTTCCTTTAATTCACATTTATTATAATATTGTTTAGTTAATCGAAGTGATGCTTTTCTAAGGAAAGAAAATTCAATTCAATTATTTTGTAAATGGACTTGCAAATATGAACAAGTCGATTTAAAACTCATTCCTAAAAACTAATCCTTTCTGTATATCACAACACTGTGTGTGTGTGTGTGTGTGTGTGTGTGTGTGTGTGTGTGTGTGTGTGTGTGTGTGTGTGTGTGTGTGTGTGTGTGTGTGTGTGTGCTGCAGCCTATTCTGAATCAAGCATATTTATGAAGGGAGAGAGTGTTAAGGCAGGCTAAGTTTATGGATTTCACTTGCTTATTTTATGAGGCCTTGTCAGGCGGTCCCGGCGATAAGTAATACTACAGTCTGTGGGACCACTTCGTGGTAATTAATCTGGAGGTCTTAAGTGTATTTCAGTATTTCACTCCAAGATGGAAAAAATCACTACTTCAATCGTCCGGAAAATTGAAGTTTGATGCATGAGTCCCTACTGAAACAATAGTACAGCCCTCTCTCTCTTCATCCCTTCCCCTCCCCTTTTCCAATCCCTCCCTCTCGATTCTTCTCTCTATATTTTATGATTATTTGCACCTTGTGGAAAAACAGTCTCAGGTGCAAATGAATATTTCAAACACTGGTCGAGTGACAGGCTTTCAAATCTCCAGTTTGTCTTCTCAAAAGAACAACAATCAGCATCCATCAACATATATTTATTATTGTATTATCATAATTATTCTTATTGAATATGTTTATAAAAAAAGGGAGGATCTGTAAATGACTTTATATTTGCATGGATAGCCTGAATTGTAGAGTTTTAATCATAGCCTTCCTGTGGAGCCAGTTAATACTTCAAACTTCAATTTTACGGGCGATTGAACTAAGCATGTTCCTGACAGAATTGATGTATGTATTAATTTCCTTTAACTGTTGATTAATTAGGCTGCGCTGAAGGCTCAAATGGAACAGTTTGCTCGAAAATTTACATATTAATCAAATTCTAGTTGATCATTCAAATAATCCAGGCTATGTGAATTTAAGAGGATGTAGCTTGAAAACATATAGCAGGGGAAATCAGTAAATATATTTTCTGTCCTGCTGCTGCTGCTGCACTGCACTGTATTAACACCAAGCAGTCAGAGAGTCAGCCTCACCATTTGGACCAAATTGTTTATCCAGTTTTGCTGCAGCCAAGTTCAACAAGCAACAGCAAACCTTTGTGCTTGTTTGTCTTATATATTATGCACATGAGAGAGGAAGAGATGCAGATTTCTGTATTCTCATTTAGTTAAAAAAAAGGCCGTTAAATTACTACTACTACAAATGACTACAAACCTCTTGATTTGGAGGTTCAGTTGCATCAATGTTATAGTCGTCGTGTCAGACAGCATATCACTTATCAATAAATACTACAGTTATAAAAAAAAATCAATGGCCTTATAAATGTTAAAACAGTTTTTAATTAAACATTGTGAGACATTAAAGGTAAAAATACTCTGCAGTTAGATATTCATTATTTATGACCACTGTGTCTAAAGAATACATTATTTAATTGTTTCTAAAGGATTCTTGAAATATGTTTTTGCATTGTAAAAAAGGTCAAAACTGCACCAGCATTTTGAACTATGGGTTTAACTTAAAAATGTAAAACAAATTCATGGCAGCGCATACAATATTTCAGATAAATATAACATGTACTTAAAATATAAAAAGAGAAGGTAAAACGTTTCAAAATATATGCTTAATTTCTTTGTGGCAAATAAAACATCAACAGTTGATTGAATAATAAAAGTGAAATGCATCAATCCCTGATTGAAGTCATCTGAAAGCTCACCCAATCCTGATGGTTTCATTATTTGAACCACGAGTTAATAAAAACTTTAAAAAGGATATAGAAAGGAAGTGAAAAACCAAAAAGGAACTGCAGATGTGAACAGGTTTAAACTCCAGTCAGCTGCTCGGCCACAGAGGAGAGAGAGGAACAGAGACACCTGCTGGTGTTCATAGGGCAGTGAACGCACCACGCCATGCTGTGTGTGTATTTTAAATACATGAAGTATATTTCAATAGCATGTACATTTATATCACTGCAAACTAAGTTACACAGAGTTGTGGTCATGATATGTTTTAGTTTTCCTTTCTGTCTCTCTAAATCTGAAGGGCAGAAACAGATTAGAACCCTTTTTAATGCTAAATAGTTTCTTACCGCTTTTATTGTCTTTATATGTTTGATGTTTTTAGTATGTGTTGATCTTAGACTTTGCCATTACTATTGAATCTAAGCTATATTGACTTCGTGTTTTCTATAAAATTGCCTCTTCCTGCACTGTCAAAATAGATCACGGGCCGCATTTAGCCCCCGGGCCGTAGTTTGGATATCCCTGTTGTATGGCGTCAGTTTCCGGACTACTGTATGATAACCCCAACCAAAGGAAGTGTAATGATACAGGGCCGGCCCTAGACTTTTGGGGGCCCTAAGCGAGCTTTGGCTTGGGGGCCCCCCTCACTCTAGCGCGTTCTCACTACGCACAACACGGAACCAATTTGTGTCTTATGATGTTAGCATAAGCACACATATTGTATAAATAAGCATGTAAACACAGTGGACCTAACATCCACATACTCTAGGGGGGTCCTCACCTCCTCTAAGGGGGTCTTCACCTCCTC